TTATATATTTACATTGTACCAGCCCATTTACAGCTGGCAATACAGCTGTCTCTAACAATTAGATTCTCTTGCAGGTGCTGTTAGCGTGACTCCCTTCACTGCTGGCAGTACCCCTCTCCTTAATTGAAATCCCTAACCCTATTTCCAATTTCCCTAATTCTCTTCCATCTTCTCCGATTTATGTATCTCTCATGATCATGACAATGTACACGTGCAATATTATCATTTTTTCCACTTTTAATGCATGCAGTTAGAAACATCAAGATTGAAGGAAAGAAAACCAATCCAATCAACTCATTCAGAAGCTATCTTGACATTTTGAAACAAAAAGGCAGCATCAATGAGATGAAGTTCTTGAGAAGAACATGAGAAAAAAGATAAAATATTTTTATGAAATTTCACAGAACATCTAATCATCTGCATCCTTGACTTAAGGTTATTTGTGGATGAAATCCAATAACACAAGAGCACATGCACATAAATGCATAATTAGGGATTCTAGAAATAGAACACCATCGTATACTAATTACAGCCAAGGACAAACACAACAACTTAAAGCTTCAAGGGCATTCCATCTTGTGTGCATCCAATAAAATTACCATATCCCAGGAAAAGAATAGTCAACGTACTAGTCAGCACTAAAATACAACAAGTATATTCTAATGCCTGAAGGGAATGAAACTTAAATGCATACCTTGCAGATTCATTTACAACTGCAAATGGTGTAACACATCCAAGTGGAACCTTAAAACAAGAAAACAAAAGCAACAACATAAAAGGTGAATAACAATCTTGTTATAATATATATGACAGTCATTACAATCTTGCTATCATATATTTGACAATCATTAGTGAAAAACCGTTTTATTCCTCGGCTCTCTTACTGCCTTAAGAAAAGTACTTGCCACTAATTACCCAATGAAGGCATACTTTTGAAACATGACACTACATTTTTAGGAATGAAATAGGCTATTAGAAGCAATCTGATCATACAATTAGAGAAGACTGAGTAGAACACTAAACAAGCATGCAAAGACTTCTATACTAAAATCCATAAACTTACTCGTAATACAATCTCAAAAAAATTGCTACTAGAAAGTTTAAACTACTATGTATACACACCTGAAGTATCTCACCCAATGCCTCTTCTGGAGCCATTCTTAGACCACCTTTCCCTAAACCAAGCCTCTGAGATAAAACTGCACAGCTTTGAAGGCAACATAAAACTCTCATTAACATCTGAAATTAACTCCATATTTTCCATATCAACATTAATATGCAAGACTCTTAAACTATTCCCTTGTATTACAAGAAAAGACTATAAAGCAGGGAAGAGAGCATGCACCTTTCAGATCTACTTTCGTATCTGCAAGTGCAGAGACAACATAGTACCTATGTTTCTTGTCCTGCATGGATAAACATTTGCAATGGATAACCATTTGCAATCACAAAGAAAATCAGAAACAATTCCGAGATTCATTCAGCACAGATGCAAAAGTAATAGTACATAATTTCATATTATACCTTCAAGAACAAATTTTTGCTCAGAACACCTACCATATTCCCAACATATTTTGCCTGATTGAGAAGAAATATTTTAGTCCTATAATCCATGAATGTGCAGAAGGGATTAATGAACCAAGTCAGTGGTCTTCTTTTACCTGAGCTTCAACTGTCAAAACAACGGGATGTTCATACTGGGAAAATTCTATTTGAAGCTCCTGAAAGACCCGAATGCACGTTTCAGTCGCTAAATAAAATGGTACAAAAGCATAGCTACCATAACTAAAGCAAAGTTAGTACTATGATACTATCAATCTCATTTTCTTTAATAGGTTATAATTGATATAAATTCATTAAATTCAACCACAGTCCAATACAAACATAAAAATATTCTGAGCCAACAGCACATAATTATAAGGTTTACAGGATTTTCACCCATTCATGGTGCAAATAATTATAAAGGCTTTTAGTTTAGCACACAATATATGCATGTATGTGTGTGTGTGTGTGTCTGTATATGTAAACAACTTAATCTGGATTCCAACCTCACTTAATCAATTCTTACCGTGAAAAGAAAAACCGAATATAAAGCAAAAACAATGAAAACCCAAATAAAAATTGAAGTGTAAATAAAGAACCATAGCGCAATATAACAAAATAGAGAACATGAAGACTAAAATTATCCAAAAATATTAATTAAAAAGAAAAACCTTTAAACGAGCAAGCAGCTGGTCCTTGGAATAACCCATTATATTGATCAGTTTTTGAGTCAAAGCTGAAATGAATGAATGAATTAAGCAAAGGCAAATCTGCAAAGAGGTTGTATAGGTTTACTAGTTACTACAATAAATTGTACAGCACTGAGTTGGATTGGGCTTAGACTCCTTGGGTCCATGTAAACCAAATAAAGAAAATGGGAAAAGGCAAAATACTCAAAATTGTGTTATTTATTGCTAGTTTGGTTAATAAAGTTCAATAAAGAGTCCATAAATTAGAGAGAAAAAATAGTTTAAATATGATTTAAATTTAAATTTTCATTTGAAAAATTGATTTCAATTTGATTCGATTTATTTTTAAAATTATCAAAATTATAATTTATATGTATTCCCTAGTTTATATCATACAAAAGTTACATTTATAATAAAATTATATTGTTTTGTTGGACTTCAAAGTTAAAATTATAATATAATATAAGTATTATAAAGTATTAGGGATGGAATGATCGGACTTGGATAGGACTGTATAAAGTTTGAATCTGATCCGATTAATAATCGAACCTTTAAATTAATCCAAGTCTAAATCCATGTCCGAATACACCATATCCGAATAAAATGTCCAAAATCCAAATCTAAATTCGAAAATTCGTATCCAATTAACTTTTCTATTTTTTTAAAGTGAGAACTCAAAATGTCTTTAAATACAATAAATAGTTTTCATCAAACAAATATTTTAATTAGTAAAATAAATAAATCTAAAAAAATAGAACCCAATGAACAAATTAAAGTAACAACTCAAACTTCAACTTAAAAAACTAAAACAAATGTCTTATAAATTTTTAATGAGTTATTGGGCCTTTTGGACTTATATTTTATTTTAAGACTTATAAATTTAAAATGATTTGATTTGGAGTAAGATATGGATCGGATTTAAATTTGAATCGAATAGGAATTTGGATTGAATTTAGATTCGAATCGGATCCTAGCATAATTCATATCCAATCCATCTCCTATTAGGACTGAGACTTTTTTTTGGATTCGGATTCAAATTTTTTCAGTCAATTTGGATTGAATTTTTTTCTTCAAAACTAATCGGATTCAAATTAAATTGACATCCCTATAAAATACATTAAGTTATTCATAATTAAAATTTTAATAAAAAATATATAAATATTGAACTCATAACTTAAGGGAGAGAGAAATGTCAACCGAAAGCTTTTAACCACTTGCTTTAGAGATTATTGACAATTTACTCATGATTTTTATATACGAATCAGAGAACCAAATTCAAACAAAGCATGTAATGTGTTATGCTATATAGTTACAGTCTAAATCTAACTTGATCCGACCCACAAACAGCTTTATCCTTTCTTATATTTAGTCTCATTATGAATGCGGATAAACAATTCCATATATTTATTATCTGAATTTGCATTATTAATGTAAATACAAATTCATAATTAGAATATAACTTTAAATTATACAATAAATAATATAAGAAATTCATTTTTTACTAAACTAAGGATTACAAAATAGTATCTACAATAATGTTCCGATAGACTGGTGCACTCTCAATTCTGATGGTGCAGTTCATAACTCTGCTTCCCTCGGATCTGTTGGCGGCCTAATCCGCAATAATGCCGGTGATTGGATCGTTGGTTTCAAGAAATCTGTTGGTGTCACTGCTTCTCTGCAAGCTGAGCTTTGGGGAATCTTTGAAGGACTTAATTTTGCGTGGACTTGTGGCATCGAACGGCTTCAACGTCAAACCGATTGTGCCGAAGCGTTTAACTTGATTTCTTCTCCGTTGGCTCCTTCTAGTTCCATCGGTCTTGTTCGCTCTATTGCCCGCCTAATGACGAAGCCTTGGTTGCTGAATTTTGTCCTCGTTGGTCGTGAAGCGAATGTTGCAGCCGACTGCCTTGCCAAACTTCCTACAACCATTGATGGCCTGATCCATATCTTCACCAATGCACCACAAGAAGTCACTGCCCATACTGCTCGGGACTTACATGGTACTAGTTTTATTCGTTTTTAATCTCCTTTTGTAATGGCCACTGGCCTCTTTTATATTAAAAAAATAATATTTATAAATACTCTCACATACAATCACCTATTCAATTTTTAATCATCCAATATTTAACTGATTTGGATATTCAACATAATTTTTTTTATATAAATTTAAATATGTAACGGATAAACTAATTAGCACAAAACTAATCTCAAATGTTACATTTCTAATAAACACAAAATCTACATACAATTTCAAGTTTCAACAATCTCTACATTTTCTTCAAGGTAATATGTTTTGATGATGGAGAAATTAAATTTGACAGTTACGGATTTAAAAATATCTTTTATGTATATATATTGATAATATAAAAATTTTATATAATGTAAATATAAATAAAATTTTAGAGTAGATATAATAAAATAAATAAATAAATAATCAGAAAGAATTCGAATCTCAAAATGGATCCGTAACTAAAACATACATCCGCCACTGCTCGGGGGTCATCCACAGCCCACGGGCCTGGGGATATAAATGGAACAGAAAAAAGAAAATGAATAACCTTACAGTTCGCAAAATAAATATATAGAAACTATGATTCTTCCTTCTTCTTCTTTCTCTTCAATATGACAATTTGCATAATTTATGCACAAACTGAATATGTAGAAACCCCCCCCCCCACTTCGAGAGTTAAAAAAAATAAAATACATTAAAATATGAAATATTTGGTTGCTGTCAGTAGCATCTCCAAGCAACTGAAGATCACCAAATATCAATGAATAGGAAAGAATAAAAGAATGGTTTAATGCTTGACTGTTTTTTTCCCTATTTGCCTTAGCAAAAACTCCATAGGCGAAGATCATCGCCTTCCTCGTAGAAATCATTGATCGTTGAGGGTGCATGAAATGAAGACACATTCAACATCTGATCAAGGGAGGGGTACCATGGTTCCATCAGAGAAACAGGCTCATCGTTTGCTACAAGAGATTGTATCAGTGACATGAAATCATCATCTTCATCAACAGCTTGATCATATGGTGAGGACATAGACGGGGAAGAGACCGATGAAGAGGAGGATGCGGAGGAAGGTGGCGGCGATATCGGTGGGGCGGCGGCACTGTTGACGAAACTATTTGCAGCCGCAGCGGCCACTCTTTGTATTGACTTGGGAGACAAAACGCTATCAGGGATGTAATGAGAGGATGTGATGGGGAAGTTGAGATTTGCCGATGAGCCTTTGAGGCATACAAGTGCAGCATCATAGGCTCTTGCGGCAGCTTCTGCAGTAGAATAAGACCCTAACCAGATTCTTGTCTTCTGATTTGGAGCCCTAATCTCTGACACCCAAGAACCCCAGCTCCTCATTCTTACACCCTTATACTTCTTCTTGAATGATGATGGAGATAGAGATGATTTCATTTCCTTCGACAGTTCTGGTTGAATCTTCTTCATATCAGTCTTCACCAATGGCAAGGAGCTTCCAAAAAAGAACGGGTACACTTTAGTTATCAATCAATGCTTTGATGATCAGGAGCAAAAGGTTTCTTTTTGTTTTAAAAACGATGGAAAATGTTGATATTTATAGATGGGTGACTTTGATTATTTTTTTGTGAAGCTGGGAAGATTGCTTCGTCAGTGTTGGTCCACATATGAACATGAAAATGGCTGACAGACAGGATATTTTTAGCTTTATTAAGAAAATGGGAAATGTACAGTGTGTGTGATTAGTTACAAAGCAGAAATGTCAATTGGCAAATCTCAACACTCAGCCTAATCGTTGTTGAGAGAAGGAAAGATCAAGGAATTAAGCATTACTTTTGTAGATAACAAGCGAATTACAACTACGAAAAACGTGTTTGTTTAAATCATTCAATACCAACACCATTAATGTAAACAGGTCTTTTTTGTGATTAATGCATGATTTGAAACTTGTAAAAAGTGAATGATTCAAGTTAAATGACTGTTTCTAGGATTGAATGACTTGCTTAGCAAGTCACATCTTTGTTTTACTATTTTGATTAATAATGAGTGGAAAATAGGATTCTTGATAGGCAACTTCCAGGATCTGCAGGGCTGATTATTTAAAACACAGCTGTTGCTGCTCTGTCTTGCAGCTCTAAAACCGCGTCTCTCGAGTCTTGTTTGTCCCTCATGCAAAACCGATATTAATATAACTCTTTTTTTACTGATTAATAAAGTAAAAGGACCCTTATGACACATCCCTCAACTGTTTCATGGTGTGTGTTTTTTGCTTCACTTTATTCCCAAGTTTCTCACTCCTGCTAAGTTCAAAGGGATTCTCTTTATGGTACGGCTAAACCAATGCTATAACTACTTGATTTTCTCTTGCTGGAAAATGCCTGCCATGGAGTTGAAGTTTGGTTCATTTTCACACTTGATTATGTTGAGATGAGGATGGGTGAGCCAATTTTTCAAACTTTCCAACGCAGCGTTGTTGCCATGTGAGACAAATGGGCAATGATACGCCTGTCAAAACGTGCCAAAGATTGCTACAAAGTTCCAATCAGAGGGTCAAAAAAGGCATGCCCTTCGGGAGAAGAGAAGATAAGAAAACTTTTTGTAAACAATAATGTTGGCCGAACCCAAATACTACTTTTCGCCATGACATTAGTATTTTGTACAGAGGAAATGGTCTTCCCCATGAATATAATTCATGGTGTGAATAAAGGAATAGTGTCCTCAATCCGTGCAAAGCCCTGCTTTAATTAGCAAGGCATCTGTTTCTTGAAAATTAAGAGAGTATTGTTCTAAATTAATCATGCTCTGTATTCGATAAGCTGCTGCCCGCGCTGCTCGGACTCACTGTATGTGTATTTAAAAATAAAAATAATATCAACCCATTCAATGAATTTGGGGTTAGAAGAGAATGGTGTTAGGGATATACATAGGTTGGGTTGGGTTGAATTTTTGGTCAGCCTAACCCGACTAGAAAAATATATATCATCCACCCGATCCGACCTTTTGAGATAAAATTCAAATCGACCCGATCCAAAATAATATATTTATTAAAAATATTATTTTTATTCAATAAAAAATAGGGATTTAATTAAAAATATATATAGAGGGGCATTATTACAATTATCCCTAAATATAAAGGTAAAACTATATTTTTTTCTCGGGTCTAGTATTTTTCACCCCGAACCCGACCCGAAGACAACCTCTAAAAAACCCAACCCAAACCCTATTTTTTAAAAATACAACCCTATCAGGTCGAGTCGAAACCCGTCAAATTATGGTCCCATGCCCATCCCTAAATGTTGTTCTTTTTATAAATTTTTAATTATGTGGCTACAATTGTAAGATATGTATGTGTTGTCGAATGGTGTTTAAACGGTTAATTCGATATTTTTTTGAAAATATTAACCGAACCAAATTGATCAAAAAAAATTCCTTTAACAGTTAATCGAATCGAATTTTTTTGAAAATATTTACCAAACCGATTTTTTAAAATATTTTTTAGTTAGATTAATTTGAGTTTAATATAGATACTCTTTATTTAGATTAATTAAGTTTTGACAATATAATGGTTTAGTATGGTTAAAAATATATGAGTCTTAATTTTTAATGAGTTTGAACTTAAAACCAAATTAATTCGATGGTTGACCCTTTTAATCAAACTAATTCAATTCGGTCGATTAATTCGGTTAAAATCAAAAAATGAACACCCTTATATCATCAATGGTTAAGAAATATTTTAAATAGATACTACATCCAAAATATTTAAAAAATAATATTTTCAATGACATGTAAATGATGTCTAGTGTGGGTTAAAATCTGATTTATTTATGTTAGTTATTCATTTATTAACTATATCTATCTTAAAATTTCATTTATATATATCGCATAAAAAATTATTATTAATATATACATGTATATCTTAAAAAAATATTTCTGAACGCAGTGTTATATCTCTTCATATTTGTGAGGCCGTCCCCTTGCTCATTTCTTTTTATCTTAAAATTTTCGGGAAATAAGGAATGAAACAGGAGCATGGTCTCTTGGAAATGTGAAGGAAATTTCATTTTTATATTGAGGTCAGCAGGCGAGACCACTGAGCTTATAGAGCATCATAGGTGTATTTTTGTACTGCAAATGCCAGTAGAAGAAGGGGCAAAAAAGTGTTGCTTGTCTGGGGGCAATTCTGCACTGCAAGATCGATTACAAAATTTGTCTGGCAAGTATAATTGAACGGCAACGCAATATGAGTGAAGATTCGTGCTCCTACTCGTCTCAAATTTATTGTATCTTTTAACAAACATTATCTTCACAAGATCAGTTGTTCTTACTTCTTATCGGTTGCTTAACTGGCAATGCCATCTCCGTACCCCCTATGGACTGAGGAGAGAGTAGTTAGACCAGTTGTTTTCTTAAAAATTTAAGATTATTTTATATTTTAAATTTTTTTATGCTTTTATTAAAATTTATTTTCATCCATTTTAAAAATTTATAAATTTGACCCCTTGTTAAAGATTCACCGTAATATAAAATTCTGCGTCTTTCTACCTAAACAACTAAATCTTGAAATCTTGAGCACTAAAAACGAGACGTGTAATGCTTATATTGGATAAGTTTAGGGATTGGCATGGGTTGGGTACGATAGAATTTTCGTTGATCCGATTCGAAAATTATATATCTTTCATCCGATCTGACTTAATCTGAAAAATATACACCATCCATCCCATCTGAATTCGACTCGACTTTTTGATATCAAATCTAAATTTAACCGGACCTGAAATAATATATTTATTAAAAATATTATTTTATTAAATAAAAATAGAAATTTAATTGAAAAAAATAATATATAGATGAACATCATTACAATTATCTTAAATATAAGATAAAATTATATATTTTTTAGATCGTATCGAGTATTTTTCACTCCAAACCCTATCCAAACATAACCTTAAAAAAACTCGAACCACCCGAACTTAAGTCCAAAATTTTTAAAATACCGACTCGATCAGATTATATTGAATCATAATCTGTCGGATTGTTGACTTGAAAACTGGATATTTAAACCTTGTACATCTATCATACAGCTGTTCCGCAACTTGCTTTCTTCCCCAGCAAATGAATGTGAATTGCGTAGAGGGGTTTATCACATTTATTCAAATCCAGATTACATTGACATTGAATACTAAGGATTGTTTTGTTTATCTTTTTTTAACTTTCCTACAGAGCAAACAAAACAAAGTAGCTGATAAGAGATGATTATCTCTTCCTTGACTAATCATTAATGACGATGAAGCATGGTTTTAGTTGGTGTTTGAAGTTTTACAGCTTGAGTTGTAATGATTACTTGGTGTTACAGCTTGAAGTTGCAACTTGCAACCTAGAGAACGGAACAACACGGTTGTTTTTAATTTACTTTTTTTGTGAAAGATGTTTTCGAGCTTACCCTTTTAGACTTTTAGTTGTTATTGAATAGCACTGTGTGCTGTTCATGATCATTGGGATCAGTCGCCTAATAAACTGCTTAACTGGGGATTCCACGCATTACAGTTAAGGGAAGGACATGGGTCGGGTCGGGTCGGATTGAATTTTCGCTCAACCCGATCCGACATCCAATCCGATCCGAAAATTATACATCTTTTACCCGAACTCGACGTGACCCGAAAAATATACACCCTCCACCCGACCTGACCCGAACTTGACTCGACTTTTTAAGATAAAATCCGAATATTACCCGATTCGACCTGAAATAATATATTTATTAAAAATATTATTTTTATTCAATAAAAATAATATTTTTATTAAATAAAAATAAGGGATATGATTGAAAAAATATATATAGAGGGACGTTATTGCATTTATCCTAAATATAAAGATAAAATTATATGTTTTTTCTCAGGTTGAGTCAGATCAAATATTTTTCACCATAAACCTAAATTCGTCCCGACCCGAACCGATTTAAAAAAAAATCCTATCCATTCGGATCAGGTCGGAACTTATCGGATCCGGGTCTCATGCCTATCCCTAATTACAGTTTTAAAATATGATATACCAACAATTAATTTAGTAGGATAATACACTAGATTATTTAAGCAATATTAATGGTCCAAATTCTGACAATTATGTTTGGAGCAAATTGGATTAAAAGGATCGTCCCATAATAGAGTTTTGTAAAATTAATTTAGATTAATCAACTAATAGATTGAATATCAATAATTAATTAAAAAAATCTAATCTAGATATAATCAAATTCGAAGGGGGCCAAAAGGCCCAAAAGTATACAATAGAAACTTCGAAATGAGCCCATTGCAAAGCCTATCGCATCAGTTCATACTTCTTATTCTGTTTCCAGATTGGGTTATAAGTGGAAATCATTAATCAAAAAAGGGTGAAATTACCTCTTAGGGTTCTCTCAACTTTGAAATTAGGCAAATTGGCCTCTCTCATAAAAAGAGGGGCAATATAATCCCTGTAATTTTTAAATGTGAGCAATCAAGAATAATTTATCACGAAATTAATAATTTCTATCAATTTTACATTATTTTAATTAAAATAATAATAAATTTAACCTTCTTATGTTGATATATTAGGTTAAAAATTAATTAAGTTAATTATACTAAACGATTTCAAACTACATTTCTCAGTGTAAATTGATTTATAAACTTTTGAATGTTTCAATTTTTTTAAAACATGATTTTTTTAAATCAAACTAATGATAAAATTAACCCCTAACATTTGTCTTGATCATTTTAATCCCCATTTTTTGGGCATTTTAGTCCCTAACATTTTAATTTTTGATCAAAATAACTCATGTTAAATGAAAACTATTAATTGACTAACAATCTATGCATGCTATTAATGTGACATTTTTATATATACTTAAATATTGATATATCATATGTCACATCATCAAAATGATGTCATAATATGTGACGCATCACTCAAAGTGATGATATGTCACATGCCACATCATCCAAGATAATAATTTAATACATGCCACATCACCTAATATGATGACATGTTTATGTGTTATATCATTTAAGATGATGATATGATATGTGACACATCACTCAAGATGCTAACATGATACATGTCAACAACTATGAGTGAAAATGTCACGTCACTAATATATGTTGATCTTTAATCAATTAACAAATTTCCTACCATCTAGTAAGAGTCGTTTTGAGTAAAAATTATAACGTTAGAAATAAATGCTCTAAAATTATAAAATTTAAATTATTCACTCAAATAAACATTGGGGACCTCTATTTTGAAAATCGGACCAGATCGGCCGGTTCAACCGGTAATCATTGCTTAGTCCGATTCAATCTAAACCGTTGAACCGCTATTAGTGAACGGCCATAATCGCTGAACCGTTCGAACCGGACCGGTTGAAAACCGGGAAAAACCGAGTTTTTTGTTTTTTTTTGTTTTTAAAAAAATTAAACCAAACAACGTCGTTTGTTAAACGAGTCAAGTCGAACTCGAGTATTGCTGAGCTCGACTCGAACTTGAAAACTTTAAAAGTAAGCTTAACTCAACTCAAACTCACAAGATAAAAATTATCAAGTTCAACTCAAACTCGAAATATAATATTGAAACTTGAACTCAAAAAAAATTAGAAGCTCGATTGAAGCCTAAAATTCGAGCTTAATTGAAGTGAAAGAATAGTTCACTCAATGCTGACCAAAAGGCTCCATGATTTTGAATGCCAAATTACCTCTATTATTTATAGAAGTTATTGTGATGCGCTTCTATGTTTCTTAGCAATGTGAGATTGTTTTGTTCTCATATTTTTACTCTTTAGACTTTTGAGATGCTCTTCTATGTTTCTTAGCCATGTGAGATTGTTTTAAAAAAAAATTAAACCAAACAATATCATTTTATTATGATTTTTTTAACCCCAATTTTTTTTAATTATAGTTATATAATTATATTTATTATTTAATATGTTTTACTTAAATATTATGTTGTAGTTAATTTGAATCATTTTGTTTCACTTGATTTGATGATTTTTAACTTATATATGTTATGATTTGCTTTGAATATGACTTGTGATATAAAAAATTATTTTTTATTAAATATTTTTGGTATTTTATTTAATTTTTTAAATAATTATGATGTCGTCCGGTTCTTTCGACCGTCGACGGTTGAACCAATGAACCGATAACATGACCGGTTCACTAACTGATCCGATTCTAAAAATCATGTTGGAGACTAATTTTAACATTATGCCAATATTTTAACCCTCAAGTAATTAACGTTTACTCAAAACCAGTAGCTATCGGCTTTTGAGTTTTGCAAAATGCTATCCAAAGGAATAGAAACAATGGCAGCAAGATCTTTATCCATGGTTTACGTTCCGGCTCATAAACCCAAATGGGTTTTCAGTCCTTTGTCATTTTGTTCTTCAGCATCCAAGCCAAGGAAGCTGGTTCTCTACTCAAAGCCTGGTTGCTGTTTGTGCGATGGCCTCAAAGAAAAACTCCACGCCGCCTTATCACTTTCCGTCCCAGACTCCCTCCACGACGTCGAGTTACAGGTAAAATCCCCATCTCACATCTCAGTCTTTAGTTTACAATACACAAAGATTGGAACTTGGAATTTTTTTTTTATTGTTGGGTACTTGGGATAGGTGAGAGATATTACCAGCAATCCTGAATGGGAGAAGGCATACCAATATGAGATACCCGTTTTAGCCAAAGTACTCTCTGATGGCACTGAGGTAGGCATAGCTTTTTCGTCCCCCTCTTTTTTTAGCTATATTTGTTTCTGGAAACTATATTACTGGTTCCTTTTTAATGAACGTGCGACTTCCTAGATAAAGAATTCAACATGGATTATTTCACACAACGACTTTGGCAAAGTTCTAACTTTGAAAGCTAAGCAAAAAAGGAAAAATAGTGGGACTAGAGAGGTGGTTCAATATCCTTTTGTATTTTTTATTATGAATTTGGTTCTATCATTAGTAAGGGATTTCTGTATAAGATATGTGAACTGAAGGTTGAATAAGGGGACATGTAATTGACCAGGAAAAAATGGAGGAGGATTTCATTCCATCACATAGCTTAAGCTCCTAGAACGTTAGGCTTTTGGTTTTTCTGTTTGATTTTAGTAAAAGACCTACTTCATTTAGAACTTTTTTTGTTAGCCAGGTTATTTAAAGGTGATCTGATCATTTATGAATAAAGGAGGAACATGAATTGGGCTTTGTTAGTTTATTTAGTAAGTGGAATGTATTAGTTGTCCATTCTCAGGTTGAAAAAAGCAACCACTTGTTCTTGAATTTTTTTTAAGGGCTGACATTGTATAAATGTATTTGGGGTCTCTAGAATTAGTAAATAAGGTTTAGGCATAGTTGTATATTTCATTTTGTGTAGAGAGTAATCTCTAGCATTATGCAAAGGATTTACAGGAAAGATACCATTATACTTGAGTATTTTCTTAAAATAGTTTGGAAACATGCTAACAACTTCTATTCTCTGGTCTTTGGCTCATGTCTGAAGCCAATTTATACTGTTTACAATAATTCGGGGCCTTAGCCAGACATGTATGGGATTTTCTAAGGATTTTTTCTTTTTATGTTTGAAGAATTAAGCTCATTTAGTAACTCCCTCAGTTAAAAATCGCTGGTAATCCCCAAATACTGTTCTTGGAAGTATTTAAACTAAGGCGAATTCTGCATTCTTCAAGATAATTTGAATGACATTAACATAGAATGTCTGGGTACTCCAATGAGGGAATGTTTTATATTAATACAGATAGAAATTGGATGAGGTTCTCTGTATTGGTAAACTTTAAACAAGTTTTGTTCTCCCCCTCTTTTGTTTGGTGGATTTCTTCCACTAGTGTTTTCAAGGTAAGTAAGACCCTTGGTTAAACAAGTTTTGTTCTCCCCCTCTTTTGTTTGGTGGATTTTTTCCACTACTGTTTTCAAGGTAAGTAAGACCCTTGGTTTTCACTTTCATGTACCCCCCTCCCCCAAATATAATCTGATTAATTTAGTATAATAGTGCCGTAAGTCTTAATAATGGATGGCACATACTCACAGAGATGTAGATTCCCTTTTGCATTAACAAAAGAATCACGACTTTCAATCATGTTCATCGTATGCACACATGTGGTACAGGTTCATGAGATGCAGATTCCCTTTTGCATCACAACTTTTCAATACTTATTTTTTTATCAGATATCCTCTCTTCATGGCTGTAGTTCAGTCAAAAGTTTCTGATTATGCTGTTACCTTTGAATAGCTGGTGGAATCTTGTTGACCATCAAATCAAAATGCTACTTTATCGAAATAAATTCGGATATAATTGCATTATAACAATATGGCTTCCTGAAATTTGTGTTATAGACAGACACATTGAGATTAATCAAGAATATTTGAAGATGCTTCGACTAGTATAATATAAAAAATACTACAGACAGATTTCATTTTTTGATAAAATAAAGGTATAAATATCTGTTATCCGGGCCCAGTTGAGTGTCGGATGTAGGTATGTATTCAATACTAATTTTTAATTAAAAATTTTCAATGTACTTGTAGGATCATGCCCTTTTTCCAATGTCCTCATAGGCTCAAACACTTGGTGTTGGGTACTAGTACTTTAGGAAAAATGAAGAATCCATGTAACAAGTTCTATAATAAGGATATTAGAGACCAGATCATCCTTCTCTAACTACCCTTGCACTGGTCTTTACAAATACTGGATAAAATAGTTGCTATTTACATGGATCAATGCTGAAGATGACATCTCATCAGCAATATCAATCTTTCTTTCAGGAACTACTGCCTAGATTATCTCCTCGACTTGGGGTGGAGCTTGTCCATAAGAAGATAACAACAGCTTTTAAACATTAAGATCTTTGTAATTTTTTGTTCTATGATGGAATGGATACTGAAGTTCATGTACAACTAGAAGGGAAAACGTTTTTGATATACATCATGTCATTTTAGTATGTTCGACTGGGTCAGTTCTAGTTTCCATCACCAACAATCGTGATTCTTTAATGTAATATTCATTGTGCACTCAATTGCTTTTAATTGCTATTAAAACTCCTGCCTTCCTCTTGCTAACAATCGAGGTTGTCCTCATTTCATCTTTTCCATTTATGGATGTTAATAATATCTTGGCGTTGTGGCTACCAGCATCTTTGGCTGGTCATTGAAGGACTGCTATTGTCATTATATATAACTTTAATGTAAAATTATACTTTTTTTTAATGCAAATGAGGTTGTAGTTGCGGGATAAGGGAAGGAATTACAAGTGTTGTGATTTGCCGCAGACCTTTTGGATGTCACCTTCTAAAGGTAATCAATCAGACTAAGCTGGTCATTGAAGGACTGCTATTGTCATTATATATAACTTTAATGTAAAATTATACTTTTTTTTAATGCAAATGAGGTTGTAGTTGCGGGATAAGGGAAGGAATTACAAGTGTTGTGATTTGAAACGCAGACCTTTGGATGTCACCTTCTAAAGGTAATCAATCAGACTAAGCTGTTTTTCCTAAATTAAGTTATTGCACTTGAGTGGTTGATTTGTCTTCTTCTTCTTCTTCTTCTTCTTCTTTTCTTGTGAATTTATTTATTTTTATTACATGTTAAAAGACAGTTGATTAGTCTTGCAAGGGACTAGACTGAGAACCTACTTGATTGATTCCATTGTCCACTTTGCATCAATAGGACTTTCCATGGTGAAAGGCTCTATTCCTATGACAATGCCTTTCTCTGTAAAAAAGATTTTGGGGTGTGTTTCAAAATTTCTTTACAGGTGGCGTAACATACGATTCAACTGGACTCTGAGGTTCAGTATGGTGCCGTGCACGCATATTCATGGACACCTAACCCAAAATAACATCATCCTTAACAAATAAAAGTTTTTTCCCCCTTTGGATTGCTTTGTTCTCTGAAACAAAATTTTCTTTTGCATATCTTTTATGTATTATTAATTCTGTGTAAAGTGCAAACGAAAGCAGGCTACTTTTAAGATAAAATGAAAATTTGCATCAAACATGATTCTTTAAATTCATATCCATTCCTTTTTTTACAACTTTTGACTAAACCCATTGTTTTCAAAGGTTCCAAGCAGTTTGTGCCCTCGGATTGCTTTGATTGCTATTAAACTACTTTCTCTGTTGCATGATCGACTTTGTAGTATTCATTTCATCTTTCCCATTAATGGATGTTATCGGTATCTTGGTCTTGTGGGTAGCAGTAAGGTAAACATGCATCACAGGGAAAAGAAAATGAAAAGGATATAAAGAGTTGATGTCGTCTGCACCTTTGATAAAACCGGTGGCATAATCATTATAACCAATCATCTTTGGTTAGCCATTAAAGGGATACCCAAAACTTCTCAACCGGTGGAATAACATTCGATAAAACCGGACGATCACGCATCCTCTTGGCATCATCTTCTCTCCCATTGCCAAAGAGAAAGCAGCATAATCATGGATACCTACCCCAAAGTATTTCCCACTTCGGATTGCCTTGTGCTTTCAAGTAAAGTGACAAAGGTCTTTGTTTTTTTATATCACTCTTTACACGCAATTGTTCAAGTCCATGGCTCATCCCATATTCCAATTATTTGCTTTAAATAACTCGTTTGATTCAAGTACAATATAAGCTTCCATGAAAACAAGTATTTAGCTATCATGGTTAAATCCCATTTCACCATATGACTAATCTGATAAACTAAGATCATTTGCGGAGTGTTGATGTGTTCTTCTGAATTGATTAATAGTTTGATTTCGTTACATGTTCAACGCAATTCTAAAGGGAATGATATATGTTTTGCAATGCTGGTGTATTGTTCCACTGAGAAAGTCGAGGCTCATCAATTGATTTTACAATTGTATTTGGATGGATTAGAGTCGTAAAAAGTTGATACAACTGCTTTTGTCTTCTTCCTTAAATGATAACTCCACAAACTTCAAAATCACTTTTTCCCCTTTTCCAACACTTTTGAGAGTGCTTTCTTCCACCCTCATGACTGATCTATGTTGCTGCCAAACATTATGTATTGGGCATCGATTTGCATGTTTATCTGTTATATCTTGCCTTCAAAAAGCTGCATGAACAAGGCGAAATATAAATTCATATTTGATGTAATTTAATCATATTAGATTCATATTCGATTATGATTTTAAAGATATCCAACAACCACGTTCAAATTTAAGTACCGTAAAATACAAGTAAATGAATCATATGAATGAAAAGCATTTGACAGAGTTGATGATTAACGTACAAGAAGCAAATTCTTGTTCCTCACAAGGCCAATTAAGTCCCAGGGTTTATCCGTTTAGGTACTTGTATGATTTAGTGGTTGAACCAAAAAGAGTATATTATTATTGTTATTATTTTATTAGTATTATTATTTTTATACACCCAAAAGATCAAATTATTGAGGCAAAAGATTAGCTTTCATGTCCATATCATGCATGCTGAATGAGAAGCAACAATAAGATGGAACCCCCATTGTTTCTTTCTTAGCTACAATTAACCATTAAATCTTCAAGCACTTAGCTTCTATGGCCTGATCTCATCATGCATGTTTATCAATTATTTATTCTCCATGCATAGTTTATTAATAACTTGCAAAAAGTAAAGGGAGAGGGAATTTGTGTGTATGATTGTTTTCTTAAGTTGGATTTTAATTATTTTCATCTCTCGTGTTTATATAATCATATCGAAATTAAAGTTATCATTCTCATGATACGAGAGTTGGAATGAGTGCTTAATAATGTAATCTAGTTGAGATACACACAAAATCATCGGACTCGAATTGCATTATGCCTGGGCATTGTATGAGATAATCTTGAAATCATATTCTTGTATTAGAACATATCAAAATCTTAATCAATGTTAGGTTAATTCGAGTGAGTGTTGGTTGTATAAGCATAGAGCGAGAAATGTGTATTTATTCATAATATGCTTCAAACATAAATATTTGAAGGAAATAAAAGGTATTTCCATTATTTTCTCTTGTATTCTTATACTGATATTTGTATATTAAAGTCATTATCGATATTCCTACAATCATCAAAGGACGTTAGACATTAGACATTAGACTTAAACCACATCTGCCTTTTGTAATTGTATCTTCCACTCCTGCTGCAAAAATGGAGGAGGATTGCGCTATTTCCATGGAAGATAAAATAAATGATTATCCTTTTATCTTTTTTCTTTGTTTCATCACTTTGGCTGACAATGGATAATTGGAGATTAAAGGCAAAAAGCAAGCACAATCTAAAGTTAAGTGGATAAGGGACCCTGTAGATTCTATGTTTGACTGAAGTCCTTTACATGGGCTATTTGTATATATAGCAACAGTTCTGATCACTTCTGAGTAAATAACTCAGATAAAATCTTCCCATATCTACTGAGTTTTAGAGCAAATATGAGTGAGCAACTTTCAAATGGACCTTTGAGTGCAAATTTCAGCAAGGCAAAGCCTTATTTACTTATGATATTCTTGCAATTTGGTTCGGCTGGGATGTACATAATCAGCATGGTAACTCTCAACCAGGGCATGAACCGTTACGTGCTTGTCGTGTATCGTAATGCCTTTGCCGCACTCGCACTTGCACCGTTCGCACTGGTGCTTGAGAGGTGATCCTAATTGTCTCATATAGTACACGCATTCATGCATAGTAATAGCAATCTATGTTGCTCTCGATTCTGATGTGAATATCAAATACGAATATGCCTGCGGCACGAATAAAAATAAGACTAATCTCTATATGCATATTCTCCTTTTTCTTACAGGAAAACAAGGCCGAAGATGACATTTTCAATCTTCCTACAAATAATGACCTTGGGATTTTTAGAGTAATCTTTCTCACCTCATACTTATGTAATAGTAAATACCATTACATGGAAATTCCAATCATACACAAATTTCCAGTTTGATTCAGACCAATCAACTCATCTAGGAACAGTGTTTTTTTGTGTTTGATGTCTGAATTTTTTTGTGGACAGGCCAATCCTCGATCAAGGCTTCGTTTACTTGGGAATGAAATACACATCAGCATCATTTACATCTGCAATTATGAATGCTGTCCCTTCAGTCACCTTTGTGATTGCACTCATTTTTCGGTGAATTTTGCATACTCCAAAATTATCTGCTCTATAGCTACTAGTTTCCAACCATTGAAATTGGTTCATAAACTGTGTGATCAGATTGGAGCATTTAAATATGAAGGAAATACGCAGTATAGCGAAGGTGATTGGGACCGTGGTGACCCTTTCAGGAGCTTTACTTATGACACTTTACAAGGGCCCCGTTATTGATTTAATATGGTCAAGGAACACAAGCAGCCATGGGAGCAGCGACTCGTCTGATAAACACTGGATACCTGGGACACTATTGATCCTTGTCGGTTGTGTTGCCTGGTCCTGTTTCTATGTTCTGCAAGTAAGTTGTCTTACGTGGCATTCCACTAATGGATCCCATGCTCTGCAACTGCGTATAAAAAAAATGCAATCAGAGGCAATTTAATGACTGAATTGTTGTTGTTCAAATGGTGCAGTCAATTACCATAAAGAAATACACGGCGGAAATCTCTCTTTCCTCCTTGATATGCTTGGCGGGTACCATCCAGAGTTTGGCAATTGCATTGGCTGTAGAACATCACCCTAGTGGATGGGCTTTGGGCTGGAACGCTAGGCTTTTTGCTCCATTGTACTCTGTAAGTATCAAACGTCTAGGAAACATTTCGAGTTAGGTCGGACTTAGATAAATATGAAGTATGTTAATCCTATCCGTAAATTTTATCTCACCAGGCCCACATATATAAGTATTTGAGTATGGTTAATCAAATTATCAGGTTACCTAATTAGCTAAACTTGAACAGCATATTTATTTGTGGTATATGCTAATTACTGCCAATCTGGTTTTAATGAAGGGTATAATTAGCTCCGGAATTACATATTACGTGCAAGGTCTGGTCATGAAAACAAGAGGCCCTGTATTTGTCACTGCCTTCAACCCTCTCTGCATGATCATCGTTGCAGCTCTCGGTTCCGCCGTTCTCGGCGAGCAAATTCATCTCGGAAGGTACTTCGGTAACATTTCCCGGCACCGTAATCTAAATGACTTTACATGGAAACCCCCGTACATGAAAAAAAAAATGGAATTTTGGTCCATTAACACACCTAACCCCAAACTACTAAAGCCACTTTAAATAAATAATACATTACCTTAAACAACTTTGGTGTTTGATAATTAAGCAAATTAGACATCAACTTCTTTCCAAATATCCTATAGAGGAAAGAGTGAAAGCTCCAGAAAAACAACACATTCAAGGAATTCTCCTTTTTATAATGATAACTTCAACAACTGCGAATAAAACTAAAAAGTATTTGTTCTTTTCAAAATCCATTTCATATTCCTCCATTAAAATAAATATTTTCCTTGTTCTTCTTCCGTTTCACTGTGGTTGTAGCATCATAGGAGGAATCGTTATCGCGATCGGGCTTTATTGCGTGGTGTGGGGTAAAGGCAAGGATTTTTCCCCACCATCTGCACCTGCAAAAGATGATTGTAACCAGCAAGAGCTACCCATTTCTGAAAAATATTGTGCTACTTCCACTAAGCTTGACATTGCCACAATTGACGCTGTTCAGCAGAGTGGAAAGTAAAAAGATGCCTTTTTTCCTGTGCTGTACTAAATTATCAAGCATTTCCATTATTTGACTCTTCTCCGCAACTTGTTAATGGAAAAACAACTTGGTATGTTATCGAGATTCGGAAATGAATGTCGATTATAGATATATTTCTTGTATATCTTTTTAAACTTTTTTCTGTCTTTAACTATGTTTTTAACACTTTTAAACAAATAAATAAATGGAAAATCTCGATGACATAGTTGTTTAACACCAACACCAACACCACCATTGGCGTATCTGAGTGGGGAAGTAGCATTAATAATTGAAGATCAAGGGCGGTCTGGTTTACAATATATTAATATCTTTATAATAATCAAGAAGTAGTTCAAACTTTTTTATGCATGCATTGCGTGTAAAATGTTTAATTTCACAAGATAGGAATATCCTTTTAAATTCTCAACACATTTTTCTCTATCAATTATCATGGCAAATATTTGAGAGATTTTTTTTTAAAGCTTGATCGAAAAGTCAAATTGTTGAGGCTTATTGATCGCAGTCTTAGTAATGGTTTTAAAAAAATATTAAGGAATTTTAAAATTGTATATAAAGTTAAATATTATTTAATTAAAAAATAGAGTTATAAATAAACATAACGTTCGATGAATTAGTAATGAATCGTTCGTATATTATTTCTTTTGTTAAGTTAAATAAATAAGTACAAACAAAAAATATATTTGTACGAGTTTAAACAAAGTTGTGTTCTGTTCGTTTATACTCACAAATAAACTTATTTATAAATTCATTTATTTAAAGTTAATTTTTTCCTATAAAATATACTTAAAATATTAATGTTTATTTCATTAATTTCTAATATAATTATCAATATTTATGTTTGATTATTAGATCTAAAAATAAGAAATATGTTTATTTACCAGTTATTTTTTCTTTTGGTAAACAATGACAGTAAAACTAACTAAGCAGCCTTACCACACAATGAATCTTCCTACGACACCGTTTTCGCGATCACAAAATTAAATATACTAACATAAATATAAATTTAAAATTTAAGAATAAACAAACGAACATGAGTAAAAGTCCTTAATTCAAACACGATTAATTCACAATCCTAACTAAAAATTAAAAATTTCTTTTTTCTCCCAATTTTTTACCCATTTCCCCCCCACCGATTCTATAACACTAAATTTATAGTTTTTCAACAATGGAAGAAATTCCCATGGTTGGCATATGTCAAAACTGTTATATGCGGAATTAAATTCCATTCTGTGCGAATATTGTTATCTCATGAACCCTATTCCATTCCAGCATCAACAATCTTCAGTAGATGAGGCAGACACAACTCATGCATCAATTCATCTTTATTTACGCTTGTACAAATCATCTGCTTACCTACCAACTAAATGAATATATTTGTATTCGACACGAATGTCATGATGATGGGCTGAAAAAGAAACTGCTTGCTTCGTCACCGGGGCCCCTCTTTTTCCACTCAACGGACAAGGTTTTAGCCACACACTATTTGTGTCTTAAAACAAAACTCCATATCTGCCTGGTAATTGGTATCATATCTTAGGACGTTGAAAGCTGGAATTATTATTCCACACCTTTTCAATCTTTTCACTCACTCGTGTTGAATCGAGGAACATCGACTTCTGTTTCAACTACTGTTGCTATCGGATGCGACGAAAATCCGGTGCTACCTTTTTCTTTTCTGAATAGTGTTCAGAAATTTCTTAACCTATTAACAATAATAATAACAGTTGTGTCTTGTGAGAGAAGAGCATGATGCCTCTTGCTATTCTATAAATAACCTCTTGATTTAAAATAATTCTGATCTATATATCTCGGGGAATAAAATTTCTGAATCGGTTTGCATACATACGCAAGTAACTAACTGTTCTTAAAATAGTTTGATTAATTTGCATTTTCCGTATCCTGCAAATATACATACAGATGCATCGGATTCTATTCGGATAGTGCCAACTTTGGGTTGATTTTAAGTGCAGAAATGACATGGCAAAAGTGGCCATGGATTGCCTAACTATAATACTAGTTAGAAACCCAGAAAGTTTAGCCACTAATCAACCATTAACACATATCTCTTAACAATTACAATGAAAAAAATGTGGAATCTGGAAACGGCTAATTATTTGGTGGTTGATCATGAATTATAAGCATAATTTTTATAATAAAAAATACGACACATTGGATGAATATATATATATATATTTAAATTTATCGATGTTGAGATTCAAATATAATCCTAAAGATTAATATTAAAATAAATGAATAAATCTCTTTTAAACCTAATTGAAATACCTTTCGGTTGTATTTCCCATTTGTCATGTGGGAAATCCACCAACCGATCTGATTTTTTCATGTTGGGATTCAAACGCGAAAACCACCAACGTTGCATTGCCTCCCCCCATGTTATTTTATTACACATCATTATAATTATATTATATTTTAATATTGTACGTAGGGATGGACCTAGAAGCTGACGGGTGGAGCGGTCACCCTCTAAAATTTTTAAATTCATATATATTATAGATATTTTCTGTTAAAAATCTCTTTAAAATTTTATAAGTCCGTCTCCTCTAACATAACATGCTGGGTTCGTCTCTCATTATATGAATAATAATTTTCTATCGAAAAACCATCAATAATAGAACACAATTTCATCCATTTGCTGATTAAATGGGTGATATATCTAATTCACTGCTCCCACTCATATTTTAACAATATTTTTTGTCCGTAAGATAGTTAGTGATACGAGGAATAGATCTCATATTGTTTAAAATATATCGATATACTCTATTTGATCGAAGAAACGAGATATATTTTAATTGGAATATGTTGGGATAACATAAAAGAAAAATTTAAAATAAGGCACAGTCATAATAAAATGGTGGGCATGTTCTAGAAAGATACGAAACCAAGTATTTGCTCCGAATTTCTGCTACATGAAAAGCAAGCAATTCATTGATATTAAACTGGAATGAAGCGACAGACAGCAGGGGGGGAGGAATAAGAATCAATATTTATTTTAATGCAACTCTGAAATTTGTATTGAGAAGATATAAAGTAGAGGGATGCGTAATCGAAGTGATTAATTATCAGAAAGCAATTTAATCCAATGAACATGTTGAGTTCTTATTATTCTAATGTTACGAAGAATTTCAGATTTTGAAAACTTATCCGACCGATTTAAAGTTTGTCTAATCAGACATTAATTAATATTTGACGTCAATGCCATTTGCACTAATTTACTTTTGGCTATGACAATTGTAAGCCAAGTAGAATTCATCCACTTCAATTGAATTTTGTGTCATTTTTAACACCATATAAAAAATTAACATTGTAAAATAAATTATATCATATTACGAACCAATTAAACCTTCGAATTTCATTCCAATATATATTTTATTGTTTTTACTGAATTTAATTTTAAATGAGAATTTAAAAAATTAAATAAACATTAAATACAAAAGATGATAATAAGGAAGAGAAAAAATAATGATGATGATAATAATAATAATTTAATTTAATGTCTTAAATCATATATATATAGATATAGATATAGATAGATAGATATAACATAGTACGGGCTTCTATGAAAAAAAAACTTTACGTGGATGCTTACATGAACGTTTATTTTAGGCTTAATAGTATTTTAGTCCTGAAATTAAACTTTATTATCATTTTGGTCTGATTAGATTTGGTCTGTAAAGGTTTTAAATTTGAGAAACGTTATTTTATTTGTAATCACCATTTTTTCCATTATTATTTTTATATACAAACAGGCTCCAAATTAAAACAAACCAACACCTAAACCCTAAATCGATCCTCAAGTCCAACCTAAACCACCCCAAACATAAAACCCGAATCAAGCCCAAATTTAAACCCAAACCAGAACCCGACCCGGAGCCCAAACCAAACCGACCCAGAGCCTAACCTAAACCTAACCCTAGTGTAGCCGCCCTAATCACCCCATCAGCTGCTATTGATCCTTGCACCAAGAAAAGGAAGGTTGCTCTAACACTCCATCACCACCTCCAACACTCCATGCAACATGCAGAGACAACAAACAAGAAAAAAACTTGTAATCATTTTCTCTTTTCTGTAATGGGTATAAAACCCTGAAATAAACAATGTACAAGGGATTTTTTTGGTTCCCGGTTTTTCTATAAGCAATACAGAAAGCAAAAGCACAGTTTGAAGGTGATTTTCCCTCTGTTTTTTAGGTTTCGAGTACATAAAAAAGAGATTTTTTAGTTTCGAATAACAATAAGCAAAAAGAAAAATCCTTTTTTTAGTTTCCAAAAAACAGCAAACAAAAAAAAAGCCTCAGTTTCAGAACACAACCGAAAAGAAAAAAAAAACGTTTTAGTTTCAAAAAATTGCAAAAACCAAACTTTTATCACAGTAAAAAAAAAGAAAAGAGAAAGGAAGAGGGTTAGATCTGGTTACCTGAGTCATAGGGGTCTTCGTTGGAGGTTGCCAGAGTTAGGGAAACCGAAAGGTCAAGGGGGCTTTTCGAGGTATTTAGGGAGTTTTTTTTTTGGTATTTTTAGCCCCAAATAAGGGTCTAGGTTAATACATCTAGGGATTTGGGTCATTTTAGGCTAGTTTAGAAGTTTCGACCGTCGCGTGTGGTGGCCGGAACGGCGGTCAGAACAGGGTGCGAGGCTGCCGACAATGGGCCGGCCAAATAGACAAGGGAGAGCTTTTTCTGGTTTTTTTGGGATTTTGGTTAAAATGAATATAAAAATGAAAAGTGGTATATATAGAGTGAGTTTATGGTAAAATCACGCTTAGGTACCCCTAGGCTTAGCACAATTTTACATTTTGATCACCTATAGGGACCAAATCTGTTAGTTTCCCTTTTAGTTGCATATTATATAATTTTTGGTTTATTCACTATTTAGTCCCTCTAACTTTAGTGTGTTTTTGCATTTTGGTCATATGTGAGGACTGAAACCGTTATTTTCCCTTTTCTTTGCATGTTATATAATTTTTTGTATATTTATTGTTTAGTTCCTTTAAGTTTAGCGTGTTTTTACACTTTGGTCATATGTAGTGACTGTTTAAATTTTATTTTAATTTTTCAAGAC